ACCTTGCCTGCACAGGAAATCATTTCCTCCTAAACACTATGCTTTATCTGTTCTGATTTCTGAATTCATGGCAAATCTTTCAGTATTTGTTTGTTTCCCCAACCCAGGCGATTAACCAGGATAGAGGTAAACAGCTCTAAGAACTTCACCACGTGGTGTAATTTTCTAATAAAACACAAGAGGGCAGGGTTTGCTTTATTGTAAGCCTAATTCCACTCTGCTCCTCCTCAGGATGGTCCAGAAACGCTTAATAACGTAGGAAGTTGAATGAGTCATCAGACTCTGTGTTCTGGCAGCGAAAGCTCTGCTATTTTAATGAAGGACAAGCGTAAGCCTTTCTATGAGGCATTATTTACGACACGGAACACAATAGCATCTGGGAGACACTGTGATAGTTTTAGCAGAGAATGGTTTAAAGAAGAGAGCACCAAATTCAGTCATATTACATGCATGAAGTCTGACTTGAGTCCACGGGGAAAATAACACAAGTGGGTTAAGGGTTTTTGCCAAAGAGACACAGTCTTGATGAGACTGTATGAAGCACACACGCTTTGAATAGGAACCTTGAGTTGTGTTTTATTTTCTTTTAGGAAATTTCAATTTATCCTATTGTTCACAATTTTCTCACGTGTTGTTTTCAAGATTTCATTAAACTACTTGCCAAAGCGTAATCACATTCACAGTGGTTATTTTCAGCTTGAATGACCCTTGTAGCTAAAGCCAAATGATCATGTCATTGGTGGACAGTTTCTGAAGAAACATTTTGGGTCCCTCTCCATAAGAAAGGCATTGGTTTGCCTGCCTTCATAATTCGGCCGCCAACTCTTTCCACTGAAACCAGGCTTTTAAGACTTCAGATAGTGGTCAAATAAATAAAATATTAAAAAAAAAAAAAAAAAGACTTCAGATAGTGGAGGACCCTAAAATGATGTCATGACGTCTTCCCTTTCTATCCTAGTCCCTATACATGGTAGAATGAAGGTCTACCACTGGTAGGAAGAAGAAGATAGCTGGATGTGTACCCTTGCCGGAGTTGGCATGGAGTAAATGTCCACATAGCATCCGGACAACTCAGAACTGAAAGAGAGGTTGTTACTAATATCGTGGCAGGGATCGAAGACCCCACTCTCTTACGTTTTATCTTGCTAATGCTTAAAACAGATGCCAGAGGCCCTGAATGAAAAGTTTTCCTTTGAGATCAGTTCGTTCCTTAAAGAATATGTGTAAAATAGTCAGGATGAGTAAGGTTCTGCAGAAATAGGAAGAGTTCCACGTTGGGTTTGGCCATTGCGTTGAGGAGAATAATTATGTCTCCACTGGGGAGCGAACTGGTTCTTTTATGTCCCTGTATCGATTAACCTCCACTATTTTCTGGGTACTTAAAGTGCTTTGATAAAATGGCACTGGAGCTGTACAGAGAGGTGTCCAACCTGACCTCTAGAAACTTCCATTCTTAATGCGGAAGCGAACTCCACATAACTTACATTACTTCATTGTTTTCTTCCGGGGTCTCCAACGAAATGATTGAATTGGAGAGCTTCCAGGAGCATCAGCAAGTTAGCTGCTGTGGGACCTTGCCTCCCTGGTCAGTGACTTGAAGTAGCCAGCTACCCCACCCCATCCTGCAACCCAAGATCAGCCTCTAGACTGTGGGGACATCAAAAGGAACTCAGTGCCTGGGAGGAGATGGGTGTCTTGTTTTTCTGCCTGTAAAACTGAGAGTGAGCAAGTAGCAATTGCCAAGAAACTCAAAAGAAAGTAGAAGCCTCCGTTTATCTAAGACCTTATTTTCAAAACTGAAGTCGTAATTATGTATTTCATATATATATTTGTATATACATATATGGTTATATGTGTACATTTGTATTTATGTATTATATATACATATATTCTAGTGTATGCATACTGAGTGCCAAAAAGATGGGAATTGATGTTCACAAATTAAAAAACAATAGCTTAGGGGCGCCTGGGTGGCTCAGTGGGTTAAAGCCTCTGCCTTCAGCTCAGGTCATGATCCCAGGGTCTTGGGATCAAGCTCCGCATCGGGCTCTCTGCTCGGCAGGGAGCCTGCTTCCTCCTCTCTCTCTGCCTGCCTCTCTGTCTACTTGTGATCTCTGTCTGTCAAATAAATAAATAAAATCTTAAAAAAAAAAAATAGCCTCCAACAGATGAATAATAATCTGCAAAACATTTATTTTTATTTTCCTCTTTAATACATTTTTATTTCTTGTTAACATGAGATTAAAATTATTCATTAGGATTATTATAATTAACAATGTTAAATCCTAAGCAAGACACAAATTACTATCAAAGAATTTTAAAATTAGAAGAGAATTTAAGTCACAAAGGAAACAGGCTATCAGATTTCAGTCACTTCTGAATGTTAACTTTATAACAGCATTTCTTTTGAAACAGTAATTCATAGACATACAGCTTTTCTAATTCTGAGGCTAGAAGCATGTAAAGTGATCTATTCGTTTTCTTCAAGGTTGAAGTTTTCCCCCTATCACTGAGAAATTCCACCAACTCTACAATGCTTCGTGGTATTTTCTGAGTTTATTTCCATGAGATTCAGTGTAAATACAAACTAACTTGTTTATCCTAACAGGTTTGTTCTACCTTTAAATTTCTTAAAAGGCATTCATCATTAACTGACTGTAATGTCAGGAAATGTTAGAAAATTTTATTCCTCTTCTATGAAAATTAGGAAATCGTTTCTGTTAGGAAGACATTATAAAACAGTATCTTTTAAGAGGTTGCATCTGCTATAGAAAAAAGTAGCCAAGTATAAATGATTACCCTCTATTTCTGCCTCAGATAGATCTGGCTTTAAATTAACTGCTTGGGAATACGATGAATGAAAATTCTGATGTACCAGAGAGACAAGAGAGAGGTGGTTATTTGCTTTATGGAATTATTCATATAGTTCATCTATAAAAAGTCATTTTCCCTGTTACTTTTATTTTTATTTTTATTTTTTTTAATTTATTTTATTTATTTGAGAGAGCAGGAGAGCAAGAGAGAGCATGAGTGGGAGGGGCAGAAGGAAAGGGAAAATCTCAAGCAGACTCGCAGTGTTGGGCAGAGCCAGACTCAGGGCTCCATCTCATGACCCTGAGATCATGACCTGAGCCGGAACCAGGAGTCAGGCACTCAACTGACTGAGCCATCCCGGGACCCCTCCCCTGCTGCTTTTAACATGCAATTAATTTAAACGTAACTTTTCAGAAACACACCTACCATGCACAACTATATCTTCATTTCATTATATCTCTTTTGGCTTAAAAATAGGGTTTAAAACTGTGTTCCTCAACAATCCTGAGTGTGGAGCATAAACCTTCTGGAGTGGAGTACGTTCATCAAACTTTGCCAAATTTTCCATAGGTACTGTTAAAGGCAGGAATTGAGATCTACGTGTGGCGGGGGCTAGAGACCCAAGCAGGGCTTCGGCCCATGAAGGACCCTGGGCTATCTTGACTCTCACAGCTGAGCCCACACTCAGATGTGTCCGTAGCTTTCTGAGGCTCGCTCAGACTCCAATTCGGTTCTGATTGGGATTTGTCCCTTTCTCCGGCTTTTGCTGTCTTATTTTGGAAGGATAACACTGTTTTGATGAATCTCGCCCCCTCCCCCATATGTAGAAAGCAGCTGGCTCCAAGAATCCCCTTCCCACCCAACATTCGCACACATCTATTCCAGTAGAGAGCAGCTGAAATGCGTGGACAGACAGGCTACCTTCTAGAACTTTGGACTCAGCCCTGAAGCACAGGTAGCAGATATGAGCAGATGAAATTTACCTTTAATCTCAGTAACCGCTAACTTCTCAGAAGGAGGGATCATCTTGGTAAGTCTGAGCATCTTAGTAAATAAAGATGGCTTCATTCTTTCCTCTCATGATATGATGATTACTTAATGGAACATAACCATTTAATTCTGAAATGTTATATTTTGTATGGATGGTTTGCTTTTAAATGATAAGGCTTAATTGATTAGCATTCCTAAGTAACTGTCAGAACACCGCAGCATGAGTAAAATCGGAAGTCAACTCCTAAAAATACACGCGGATAATTTTTCATCTGAGGCTACCTGGTTAAGAAATTGGTTCAGGATCAGCCAAATGAGACCTCAAAGCAATGAAACTCTACTCAGATCGTCAGGGTTCTTGCCCCACAGCCTTTTCCAGCCAGCCTTTCCTGGGAGAAGTGGTTCTATACATGTTAGGAGACTTAAAACAGTATATTAATTAACTAGAAAACTCATTTAATCATTTAATCTCTCGTCTATTTTTCACTATAGAATCAATGTTTATCTAGCTATTGAATCTCTGTTAAGAACTACAGATTCTGATAAATTCTGGAAAGTCTAATTTACAAAAGAGAACCAAACTGATCATTCATTCCTTCATTGACTCTCCATCCTCTTCGGAAAATAAGGCCTATTTTCATCTTTAAGGCTGTTTTAAAGGCTGGAAAAGAAAAGACACAGAGAGAAGAAAAGTAAGTCACTGGAAGATGATCAGGAAGGCACTTAGAAGCACGGATGTTTGTAGCTAAGCTCACGGAGACTCAGGAAGCATCTTCCGCTCCCGCCCCACTTGCCCCTTTACAAAGGAACACACTTGGGTTAAGAAAAAATGAACCATGATCTTGCCCAGGCCTCAAATTACAGTGACCTCCAAATTCAAATGAATCCCCTTTATCAGTTGCGTGCCTGTGTGTGTGTCTGTGTGTGTCTTCTCAGAACAGGAGGAGGCTTAATCAAAACGGGGACTTACTATCAGATACCACAAATCGTCAGCTCTGCCTTTGTCTGATGTCAAGATAGCCTCACACATTCCCATTTGTGTTTGTTAAACAGTAACTAAACCAGCGACTACAGCTACACATCCTCTGTCTTGAGAATGAGCACCACAGTAGGAGCAACCGTGTCAAACGTCTTCTGCTAAAGGAAGAACACTGACTAATAACGTGTTCATCGGCAGGGTCAGACCTGAGGCTGATGCCTCTCCAGGGGAAGGCGCGAGCTCTCTAGGCTTCTTCTGTGTACTTCTTGTTGCTTAAATGTGTCTCTGCTAGGGGTGTGTAGCCTTTTCGGAGTCTTCTGTACTGAAGGAAAAACAGCACCACAAAAACACCAGCCAAAGCCACCAGCGTTCCCATGACCACCAAGAGGGTTGGGGTCCAACCTGGAGTTTCTTCTGGAATTAAAGCAGAAGAGAACGGTCAACAGTTGGGATTTTCATCAGCTGAAGACTCTCAGAGACGAGAAGAATGAACCCATTTGCTTTTCACGTGCATTTTTGTTGATAGAGCAGAATGATACTGGCTAGGACAAAATTTATCTTCTACCGGCACCAACAGTTTGTCATACCCACAATTGTTTTTCTTGAGGAAATGGCATTCCACTATTTAAATACAGCTGATTGCACGTTTTAAATTTCTTGCAATACACACTTACACAGAATAAACCCTCCAAGGAAGTATATAACTACTTTTGTGAGTTAGAAACTCATTTGTTAAGGTGTACGCTAACGTAGTATCTGGGGAACTGGAAATATACAAGCCCCAGACGGAGAAATTCTGCTATTGTCTCTACCTTTTTATAAGGTGATAAATGTATAAGGCAGATCAGATTGGCTATTATAATAGGAGACATTCAATAGCAGGAGCCAATGAAATATGTACCCATTTAAAGAGTCGTGAATAAAATCTGAATCTTGCACCTGATAAATCTAGTTCTCTACTCAGATATATTTTATAAGCACTCTCCACAAAATTAATGGATTTCATTTTAATATACTTATGCTTATTTTTCATGTTCTTAAAAATTCCCTTATCCTTGGCTAGCTATTCATTTTCTTTTAATTGTTTTTAAAGATTTTATTTATTTATTTATTTGACAGAGAGAGAGATCCCAAGTAGGCAGAGCAGCAGAGAGAGAGAGTGGGGGAAGCAGGCTCCCCGCTGAGCAGAGAGCCTGATGTGGGGCTCAATCCCAGGACCCTGAGATCATGTCCTGAGCCGAAGGCAGAGGCTTAACCCACCGAGCCACCCAGGCGCCCCAATTTTATTTATTTTTTTAAGAGGGGTGGAAGAGCAGAAGCAGGGGCAGGGGCAGTGGGAGAGGGAGAAGCGGGCCTCCTGCTGAGCAGGGAGCCTGGTGCGGAACTCGATCCCAGGATCCTGAGATCATGACCTGAGCAGAAGGCAGACAATTAATGGATTGAGTCTCCCAGGCGCCCCTAGGCCAGCTGCCCTTAAACTCAGTTTCTCTGACCTGGGTTCTTATTCTTCACCCTATACTTGGCTAAATATAAAATCCTCCTTCTCGTTTTTCCTCCATTCCCCAGAAGGGCCCCCTCCTTATCCTGCAGGGATTCCTCCAAGATCATGGTAATTTTTCTCCTCTTGTGACAATCCAACATCTGTTGCCAGAACCATCTTCTTCAAACGCAGATGTTTATTCTGACATTTCTTTCTTCGGGAACCAAAGATGATTGTTCTTTTCTTTGTGGTAAAATACACGTGAAACGTGTGTTTCATCATCATAATCCTTTTTAAGTGCTCAGGTGTGGGGCCTAGTGCTTCACACACTTGAGCAACCATCACCACCACCTACCCGCCAGACTTTTTTTCATCTTGCAAATCTGAAATAAGATCTCCCCAGTGCCCCAGCTTTCCAGCCTCTCCAAACCCCATTCTACTTTCTGTCTCTATAAACTTGACGACTCTAGACACCTCATATAAGGGGAATCATACAGTTTTTGTTGTTTTGCGACTGGCTTTTTCATTTAGTGTATCTTCAAGACTCGTGCATGTTGTAGCATATGACAGGATTTCCTTCCTTTTTAAGGCTGCGTAATATTCCATTGTGCGCATATGCCACACTTTGTTTATCCATTCTGCCATCAATGGATGTTGAGTTCTTTCTTGTGTCTATTGTGAATAATACTGCTACAAACAGAGGTTTACAAATAATCTACGTGGGTACTTGCTTTCAGTTCTTTGCTGGGCCATATGGCAATCGGATGTTCAGTTTTTTGAGGAGCTGCCATATTGTTTTCCACAAAGGCTACCTACCACTCTGCATTCCCACCATCAGGGCACGAGGCCTCCAATTACCCCACAGTCTCATCAGCACTTATTGCCTGCTGTTTTGTCAGTAATAGCCATCCTAATGTGTGGAAAGCGGTGTCTCATTGTGGTTTCTGCCAGATGGCTTTCAAGGCCCTCTGTAATCAGGCTTTTCTCACAGATCTGGACTTAATTCAGGTAATCTTCTACCCAAGCCTTCCTCTCCAGCCAGGCTTCTTCGGCAGTCCCCTATACAGACTATACCCTTCACAGCGCTGAAAGCCCTGCTCTCCTTCAATCTAAAATGCTCCCTTCTTTCCACCTCCTCTACAGAAGATCCACCATCTCTTTGAATCAGACTCAAGACCCATCCCTTTCTGGAAGCCTTTCCCAAATGCCCCACTCCATTCTTCAACCTTCTGCTGTAGTTAGGTCTCCCCCAGACAAGACTGTCGGTTTCTGTGGCAGACCAACACGTGAAACGTGAATTTGTGTCTCCTGAAGAGTTAACACATTCTGGGCGTATTCAGACTCTCAGTCTATACCTGTTAATTGGCTGGTGTCAGAGGAATGGACGTAGGGGCAAATGCTCATCCCAAACCTTGTGATTGTTGCTATGTTTGATTCCAGAGAAAAGAGAATGAAGTTTCAAAAGATATCGCAGCTGTCCTGAGAAAGGCAACTTCAAATCAGTAAGGAAAACAAGCAAAGTTGCAGGACTAGAAGGAAAAGCAAGGGACAGATTCCAGGGCTTGGAAGACTCTGAAGTCAGAGAGAGAGGGAGAGATGTGAGCTCACAAGTCATTACGATTACACCACAGACAGAGATTTAGGGAAGATGGAAGAGACACATGGGGTAAACTCACCAGCAGATGGGCTGTGTGTTTTTCTGAGTTCTGAACAAAATAAGATATTTGTTGATTGTTTTACCTTTTCTTTCTCAACCTGTCCTAAGATTGTTTAAGTGACCCATGGAGCTATATTAGGGCCTGGGCAAATAGAAAAATATGTGCCCATATATATACTTACCAAAATATCCTCCCACATTTTCAACTAAATGGAAAAAGCTACTAAAAAGTCTACAATGTAAAAGCAAGATTTAAAGAACTTTAATTAAGGACACATATGCGTGCAGCCCCATGTAGCCCGAATTGTTGGCAGGCTAACACCAACCTCATAAAGCAACCCAGCAGGGCTGGCATGGGCTAACTGGAAATAATTGGTCTCATTACAAAATAATGTAGGGGTGAACAAACAATGATCACAACAGCCTGTTTTTATTTAAAATGTTGATATTGCATTCATCTTTTTTGCATTTATTTTGATTTTTTAAAAAAATTACATTACATTATTTATCTCAATTACTGAGTTTTTTGGTCTCCCCTTGAACTTCATGCTCACAGTAAGTGCTTTATTTTCTTCACAATAAACCAAGTCCTTCCTTCAAGTAACGATTCTCCAAGTCCTGATAAACTCCATCCACATGTGGCTAGTGCATTTTGATTTGGTTGGCTAGACATTTCAAACCATAGCCAGGTTTTTAATAATTCAGATTATTTTCATATATTTATTATATGCTATTATTTATTAATTCAATCATCAAACCAGTCCCTTTTCTGACGTTTAGCTGGTAGTGCAAGGGCTCATTTTGCTTAATATAACTGTTTTAGAAAATTGCTCGTAAAATTAACTAGACCTGCGTACTTGAATTTAAGGTCCTGGTTTGCATTTTTGAAAAGAAAGAAAGGTCCTTCAGCAGATAAATGAATTATCCCCTTAGAAGTTGTATGTGTTACCTGGCAGATTGATAGCATAGCTGTAGCCAAGCTGGTCCGCAGTTAAAAAGAATTCCTCATTAGTCACTGGAGGGAAGAAAGGAACCATGTGATACATCCGATTGTGACCGATCGGCGCCAGCTCCTGAGGCCACGCGTCCACAGAAGGATTGGACCTTTTCATCCACGCATCAAAAATGGCGTCGGTAAAGGAATGGAGCACCTGCAAGAAAATTGAACATTCATTGGACATTGATCTGTCTGTCCCAATCAGGTCAACCCGACTGAAGTTTCTCCAGAGTGGAATGCGGTTCTTCTGCACATAAGGACTTCTCCATACCCAACCGTATCTTCGTGACATAAGCACTGAAAGTTTTAGTTAACATTTTTTCAAGGCTTCATGCCGTCCCTCCAAACAGGATCATCAACCGCTTTGTCAAGTGAATAAATGAAATTTCACTTGCAGATTTAACACTGGTTTGAGAACATTAGATGCCTTCAACACATGAGTGTTAATTATTAGGTTGGGGAGAAAGGCAAGTATGATAAGATAGATATCTTTGGTTTTGTGCTTAACAGAAGAGAAAGAAGAGGCTGTGTTTAACAGTATTGTGTTTAACAGTATTGAAACACAAATGGATAGGGGAGGAAGGAAGGGAAGAAGGAAGGAAGGAAGGGAAGAAGGAAGGAAGGAAGGAAGGAAGGAAGGAAGGAAGGGAAGAAATCTCCAAAATGGCTTTTCAAATTTTTCTCAGTAGGATGGCTCTTTTAGGGACTCATTTTATAACACTTTCATTTAAATTTTCGGTCTTACGCCAGCAAAAGAAAGTCTAAAAAATGCTGTGATGTGCATAGTGCTCATTTTTATTTTCTCAATGAAGCTAATTAAAGTCCTTCTCAAATACAGCAATTATTATGTTTTAAAATATTAACAGCAAAATTTCCACATTTATAGCCCCAATTTTGCAATACGACATAAATGTGAGAGTTCAGCCCAACATTCATGCTGGGTTCCTCTTTTATCCCTAGACTTTAAGTTCAAGGACCGAGGGGCACTGTTCCCTTCTCTTCCCCTGGGTCCCAAGTGTTGTCATTCTGGAGCCTGTCACATGGGGGTAGAGAGGTATTTATTCCAATAAAAAATGTTTCTCAAACGAATTCATTCACCCTATCACCACTATTCCTTGTACTCCAGTTAGAGCCTTGGTCAAATTATACCATGACTTGTTACTTATTTTTTTTAGTTTCCTTCTATAACTTGTTACATATTTATCTATTTTCCTTAACAACACCCCTAACTCCTAAAGGTCAGAGATGGGGTCTTTTCACCTTGGAAGCATCAGCTTAGCATGCAACCTGGGCAGAGTCGATGTCTAATAAGGACTTGTTGCCTGAAGACAGTGCCACGCAAAGTAGTTTTGTCTTTTGTACAATTCAACAAAAGAGGCCCCTTTCTATCTGCTGTTGTTTCCTCACCTTAAAATTTGATTTCTTGTGTTTTCTGGTGTCTATCAAGGACCAATGCAATGGTCCTCGTCCTGAAGCATTTTCCCTAATTTCTCTCAGCCTAAATTCATAGCTCTTTGCACTTCTCAAACCCTTTAAGGGCATTGCTCTTCTGGCTTATGTAGCTGTTGTTTATTTATTAGATAATATCTATTTTCAAATCTTACCCAAGGTTCCTTGTAGTTAGTTACCCCTATCAGGCAACAGCGAGAACGTTCTACCTATATTGTCTCACATGGCTACATATAGCATAGTTAAAGGAACTGAGTGATTTACTCAAGGAATTTCTTCCCAAATGGATTTTTACAGTTCATGGCAGAGATAATCATCTTAAAACAAAAACATCAAATTTTAAGACCTGGGCTTTTGCAGACATTAAAGATTTTTTTCTTAATTCTAAAATTTTAGCTTTGACTAACAAAATTGAAACTCCAAAGAAATAGAGGTGTAATGCTTATTGCCTAAGCAACAGCCTTGGAAGATGCATGATAATGTAAATGATCAATGTTTCCTATAAGGAGAGCTTAGAAAAAGGGATCCCAGCCCTGGAAAAAGAACTGAGTTGTTAGTTGCTGGTGTAAGTCACCGAAAAGGTATCTCGTGTCCAGAATCCCGGGAACTCCAGAGAAGGTTAGAAGGCTCCCAGACAACAAAGTTGTGTTTCATCCTCCAACTAAAGCCTGAGGAGCCTGCCAGTTTCAAACAGAACTTTTGCCAGAAGCACAGAGCCCAAGCAATAGAGGCTGAGTGCCTAAGGAGAGTATGAACTATGTGTTGCTTACCAAATATCCACTCTCCTTTCTCTGTAACTTCCTTTGTATTTTGAGTGAAGGAATGTATCAAATTATCCCTGAGATTGAATTAGGAGTCACTGGGTGGGATTCCTAAGAAAGCTCTTTAAAGGTGGTGATCTCAACTTAAAAGTGGTCCTTTTTCCCTTTCCATTTTTCCTAGCTGTTTCCTGGAACATGGGTGTGATGGCTGGAGTTGCAGCAGCCATTTTAATTGCTAACTAACAAAGTTAGGAAAAGAAGGCACTCACCAAGGTTAGTAGAGCAAAAACACAGAAGGGTCTGTGATGACTCTCTGTGGTGACTCTGGATGGCCTGCCACTGGGGATCTTTTACATTAAGAGAAAAATAAACCTCTCTTTTATGAGGGGAAGCTTCTATAACAGGTTTTCTGTACTAAGCAGCGGAACCAAATCTTAAGGAATACACAGAAAACGTATCTAGGGTGTTCCAGAGTGTATTTTCCAAAGAAGGTCACACAGTATCTCCTGAGCATTTAGGGACTGTGTGAGTTCAAGTCAGAGATCAAATTGTGATTAGAAAAAGCGACAAGGGACATTCAGGACACAGAAAGATCCAGATTCAGTGCAGCAAGAGGCAAATAACTTTTGGAAAATATCAGAATTCACCCAGTGCAACGTGTAAATAAGTAAGGAGGGGACAAGACTCTGCAACAATTCATAATTTGGAGAGATAAAAGAAGAGGGAAAAATAATAAGGAGAGATTATAGGTCTCCAAAGGGCTATAAAACATTATACAATAAATGCTCTAGTAGGAACCATGTACAGAACACCCAATTTATAGAATGTAGTAAAAGAGGCAAGTGTGTGCCAAGAAGATGCAAAGAATGCAATAAACAAAATGCTGCAGGCAATAACGTCTCCACAGCCATAAAGAGAAGTGGTGCAGCCTGCAGAATAGTTATTTTTGTTAGAGTTGTGAACATTGCTCAGAAACAAGATACCTTGAATTGCTCTTGAAAAACTAACAGTATCTTTGTTTGACATGAGTCAAACATGAGCTCAGTTAATGTCTCTGTAATGGCTAAACGTAATGGGAGTGTAATAAATAAAAGCACAAGTAAAATAACAGAATACTGTGGTTGCCTTATATCTGCTATAGAGATACATAGTTGTATTTGGGCATTAAAAATTGAGTGCTTCGGAAATGAGGTTACAAATTTTGTTTCACAAGCCCATTCTCTCTTGCTCCAACTGCATAAGGAAAGGTACAGGAAGAAAAAAACTTCCACCTTGGAGGCAGTATCGAAGAAGATATGGTTCTATGGGCTTTCAAGGTAAAGTTTCTCTAATGCAACCCTTGCAGAAAAAAGCAATCAATCAATGGCTTTCGTGCTTGCAGGCATAAAGAAACTTGAATAAAATACAAGGAAATCATGCATATCTTTTTCGGGATCCCTAGAGAATAAAGTTACTATCAAACTTAACTTTAACTTAGATGTCTGCACAATCAGATTCCTGCCATAATGACCACAGACACCAGTACATCACCAAAGACCAGTGCACTGTGGTTTTCACCACTTGAATTCATGTGTTCTTACCCGGAAGACATCATTCATGGTCAGAGAGAGTCTTAATATGATAATGTTCTGCCGCTCTGAAAACTCATATGTGACCACTTGGAAATCACATAATACACACCCAGTCGCATAGGGAAGGTCCATTTAAAACTAAGGTTAGGGGCACCTGGGTAGGTCAGTCGTTTAAGTGTCTGCCTTCAGCTCAGATCATGATCCCAGAGTCATGGGATTGAGCCTGGGATCAAGACCCACCACAGCAGCGGGTTCCCTGCCTAGCAAGGGACCTGCTTCTCCCTCCCCCTCTACCTCTCCCCGCCCTGCTCATGCTGTCTCTCAAATAAATAAAAAAAATATTTTTTAAAAGAAAATTAAAAAAAAGTAAAAGCACCCTTTCTACATAAATTTATATAAAAGCATTGTATACAAAATATACAAAAGTATACATTAAATATATGCAATGCATTGTATGTAAGATATATTAGCATGTATATAAAAAGAAATATCAGTTATGTATGGTGGCAGACAGTAACCTGACTAATTATGATGACTGTTTTTGCAATATATACAAATATTGAATCAGTATGCTATACACCTGAAACTAACTTAATTTTACAGGTCGGTTATATCTCAATCTAAAAAAGAAATATCAGTTGAGTCCATGCAGAAGAAAGCTTATACTTTAAGGATTAAACTTTGAACACCTGAAAACAGAGGAGTACAAGAGATTCTGTTATTAGTATGGCGGCTTTAAAAGAACTCACCGGGTCAGCATATGTCATAAGCAGGTGAGAGAGAGAGAACCAGGGGGATGTCAGAAGAGATTCTAGATAAGAACTGAGATACTGCCAGTCCATTCATGTCTAAGGAATCACCAAAATTCTAGGAGGAAGGAACCCAAATCAATGTGATAGCCACTTTAGATTTGCATATAAATGTGGTCTGCCTTTATACTACTTAATTTCATCAGTGACAAAGAGTATGAAGTTCATCTCTTAGCATAGGTTTAGTTCTTCTCAGTAGAGCATGGGTCTATCTTCACAAAGCTTAGAGTTGGAAAGAATTTCTTCAGGGGCCATTTAGCCCAGGCCAAGTTAAAAAAACAAACTATCCCCTAGACCAAGAGTATAGAAATCTTGCCACCCTGGGACTCTCTGCCCAAGCAGTGGCCACCCACCATCTCCAATACCTCAGCTCTTTTAAAACTCACCGAAGTGTCACACTCCTTAGGAATTATTAACTTTATCTCAGTTGTTTAAAAATAAATAAATAAATGTAGCATTTATTCCACCTTTCGGAGGCAGTTTGGCAGTATCTACAGACATTTCAAATGTATTTATTTCATCTTTGAGCTGGTAATTCTCTTCTCTTGATTTACTCTACATGGT